GCTTTATATTCGTCCGTCTCACCCTGTCTCTGGCGAGACTATAATCCTGCAAATCATCCGTAGTGGAACCACCAGAAGTCGGTTGAGAAGTTTCTGGTTTCTCAACTGGAAACTGCTCGAAATCTACCACTGTCGTGTCTTGCTTCTGCTGCAACATAGACTGTTCATCAAAAACGACATCTCTACTAATCACAACTTTCTTCGCAACTGGATCCCAGAACTTGAATCCTTTGACACCTTTCTTGTAACCCAGAAAAATGCACTCCTTCGATTTTGCATCAAGTTTGGATCTCTCATCAGCAGGTACATGCACATAAGCAGGACAACCAAAAATCCGTAAGTTATCAAAACTAACATCATGACCAGTCCATACCTCTTCTGCAACTTTCCCAGCCAGCGATGCCCTTGGCGATCTGTTGATAAGGTAACACGCCATGTTAACAGCCTCAGCCCAGAAGTGTTTGGGAAGCCCCGCATTCAACCGCAAACATCTGGCTCTTTCATTCAACGACCTGTTCATTCGTTCCGCAACACCATTCTGTTGTGGTGTCTTGCGCACTGTAAAATGCCTCTGAATCCCATGCTCCTTACAGAATTGTAGGAACTGTGAATCTGTGTACTCCGTACCATTATCAGACCGCAAACACTTGATTTTTCGTCCTGTTTGGTTTTCTACCTCAGCTTTCCACAGCTTGAACTTCTCAAAACTTCAGATTTCTGTTTCAAAAATACACCCAAACTTTCCGTGAAAAATCATCAATAAAAGTACATAGTACCTAGATCCACCCAAAGACGATGTCGTGGAAGGCCCCCATACATCAGAATGCACATAATCAAGAATCCCTTGAGTTGTGTGCTTCGCAGTCTTGAAACGGACTTTAGTCTGTTTACCAAGAACACAATACTTGCAAAAATCGAGCTTACAGCTTTGACACCATGCAACAAGTTTCTCTTGTGTAATTCTGCCATACCACGTTCACTAAGATGAGCAAGGCGCATATGCCACAATTTTGTCGTATCATCACAGGACTCAACAGAGTGAACTCCACCTGCAACGGTACTCCCTAACAATCTGTAGATATTCCCTGCAGTCATCTTGCCTTTCATCACAGTCAATGCTCCTTTAACAATCCGAATGGTTTCCCTATCCTCGTCAGCCTTAGGGATAAAACCATTCTTGTGCAAAGTGCCCAAGGAAATCAAATTCTTCTTCAAGTCTGGGATATGTCGAACACCACTCAACGTCCGAACGGAGCCATCGTGCATCTTAATTCTGACATCACCAATACCAACAATATTGCAACATCGATCATCACCCAAAAAACCGAACCAGAATTAACCGGCCTGTATGTCGAAAACCATTCCCTATTGGGCGTGATGTGATAAGAACATCCAGAATCAAGAATCCAAGCATCCGTCAATTGTGTCGTTGAAATAGAAAGCATATCACCCTCACTGCAATCAGAAGTATCATCCTCGACCACGTTCACAGACTTGGATGAGCCATCACGCTTCTCATCGGTCTGCTTTTTCAACTTCGACAGTCTCGCTTCATATGTCCCGCCTCCTTGCACTTGTAACAGTGAATCGTCTTCTTATCCCTGGATTTGGATCTGAAATTCCGCTTCCCGGACCCTGCCTTCTCTGGCTTCCGTCCACGATCTCGATTACCCTTGACATATAAGCTATCGGCTTGAGAGCTTTCCCCTGCATTCTGCTTCCGCTGGTTGTGAGCCAACAAGGCTGCAGTAATCTCCTCAACGTTGATAGTCTCTTTCCCATATGTAAGAGTAGTCACCATGTGTTCGTAAGAGGAAGGCAACGAACACAACAGAATCATCGCTCTGTCTTCATCCTCAATTTTCACATCAAGTCGAGCCAGATCAGAAACGATTTGATTGAAGACATTCACGTGTTGCGCCAAATCGTGATCGTCCTGCATCTTCAGCCCATACAGCCGCTGCTTCAGATACAGTTTTGTCGTTAAGGATTTGGACATAAACTGACTTTCCAACTTCCTCCAAATTTCGTCTGGAGACGATAGATGCATGACGTGATACATGACCTCGTCCGCCAAGCATAACCGTATGGTTCCTACCGCTCGCTGCTGCAATTCTTCCCAATCTTCCTCATCCATCGACGCCGGCTTTGTAGGTCGCAAAGCCTTCAAGATCCCTTGCTGCGCCAATAGATCCTTCACCCTCGTTTGCCATAATCCGAAGTTACCCTGACCATCGAATTTCGCGACTTCGAATTTTGCTCCTGACATCTGATACCAATTGTTGAGGAAAACGGGTAAAGAAAACGAAAGAACACGAGAATTTTACGAGGTTCGGCAATGTGCTTACGTCCTCGGTGCCTAGGCGGCGCTAGAATTTTTATTCAATGATATTTTAGGTCTAGGTTACATCTCTATTTATAATAGAAAACCCTGGTACATAATTACAAAATCAACCCTGTACCGTACCGCGGGGGCTGCGCCCCCACACCCCCAACCCACATAATTCGTAACCCCACAACAAGACTTTTTATGAGCCATACATAACAAACTATTATTGATACGAGACAAAATACGTTACAACGACGTTACCCCAATATTACAATACTACAACACTAGCTGCAGCTAGTTTACGAACACAATCTAGTTATTCTAAGCTTTGCTAACCTTTACCCTCTCTCTTTAATAGTTTTGCTAAGCTATCTCTCATTCTTACTTTTCTAAGCTTTCCTCATATTTCTTCTCTTGTATTACATCTCATACATTGCATATATTTATAAGTTAATTAAACAGACATATAGTTGGTTCTACATTCTTCATGCCGCCTTATAATTTCTTACCGGATGATTTCCTTTGACTTTTCAAAGTCTTTGTCAAATTTTAATTCTTAAGTAATTCCATAAGTTTCCTTAATTGCTTGTTGTGATAAAACTTTACTTGATGCCTCATTTTCCATATGATTGTTTTCTACAATACTCTTCAATTTTCCATAGCCATATTTTTTTACTTTCAAGTTTGTTTTCCATGTTGCTAATTATTTGTCATATGCATATTTTCCAACATTATAGAAATCAAGTTTGATTTCTAACCGTTAGTCTCTACTCTCTAGTTAGTGGATATCATATTAGAGTAATTATATTAATTTGAACTTACAAAACCAAATTATCTCCATTTTTAATAAAAAGGCTTAAGTTTCGTAATTTAATATGATAAATGGGCCAAAATATGTGGAAACGACAAGTCAGAGGATAACGGCAACGAGAGCCAGAGGGAAGCTCCGGTCCCGTGTGGAAGAACATGCCCTTCCACCCAACACTGCACACCTTCGGAAAAAAGACAAAATGAATGAAACACACTATTCCGGTAATAAAATCATCATCCATTCATGGTCATCAATGGCAGATTCTCGAAAACCAAAGCATCATTAATTTTAAGTGTTTTTAGTTTCTTTCACTCAGTTGCAAAAGAAAACAAGTAATGGCTGAGCCTCCGTTGAAACCGGTTCTCCAAAAACCACCGGGATATAAAGACCCAAACATACCGGCGGAACAGTCCGGGTTCAGACCGCCGCCGCGAAGAGCTTTACTGCCACCATCTCTCCATCAAAGGGAAGAGAAAAGTAGATTTTGTCGTGTTTGTTGTTGCTCGCTCTGCATTTTCTTCTCGATTTTGATTCTGCTCATCGTAACCGGCTGCATGGTTTTCTACATCTTGTTCAACCCGAAATTCCCCGTCTTTCACGTCCAGTCAATTCGGATGTCCCAGTTTAACATCACCAAAAGACCCGACGGAACCTACCTCGACGCCACGACGACGACGAGACTCGAAGTGAAGAACCCGAACTTAAAGATGACGTTCAATTTCGGCGACACCGAGCTCGACGTCAGTTTCGGCGAGGGTGGAGGTGAGGCTGCTGCGGGAACGACGGCGGTCACGGGGTCCACTGGGGAAACAGAGCTCGACGAGTTTGAAAGTGAATACAAAGGTGAGTAACATGCTGGTGGCTGACGATGTCGGGAACAGGATCCGGACCGGACACCAAAACAAGACGTTTCCGGTGATTGTGAAGGCTCAGACGAAAGTTGGGCTCGGTGTGGCGGGGTTGAAGATTGGTAAGATGGCGGTGACTGTTAAGTGCTGCGACGGAATCACCGTGAAACAGCTTGATGGTGGAGACATGCCAAAATGCGTCAACATGTTAAAATGGTAAATAAGACAACATTAATCATTTCAAAAGTTTTAACCCAATTGAAAACATACAGTTTAATTCTGATTTCGGTCCCCTTATTATTTAGTAAAACTTAAAATTTAATATTTTAAGTTAATTTGACATAAAATTTAGTTATTTCTAAAAAAATGTTATTAACATATTTAATAATATTTGTAAGGGGTCAAATCTCAAGCTTAAGTATAATATTTTAGTAAATATGAAAATGCTATTTTATTTTATAATTGATGGATTTTACTGCTTTGATCGCAGGCTTAATATTCATTGATACAGTTCACATTCATCAAACACTAATTGGATGAGGTAATTCATGAACATGTTGCACCTACTTTGGATTGCGGCTACTTTTCATTTTAATTTTTATTACATGTAATTATTTAGTTACAATAATTATTTTATTACAAAGTACCATTAATTCATAAATTTATACTTGTGGGAAAATACCAAAAATACAGCATTTTTTGTTCTCATTTCACACATCACACGATCATTAAAATTTTGCATAATCATGAGAGATTTACATATTGACGGTGTTTCCAAGAGCCTTCCCTAAACGAAAATATAATTTCTCGTTAATGTACACTACATTTTCTTCTAAGCTTTCTCACCACTATTTCAAATAAAAAAAAAAAACAAACAAACATCAGTTCTGCAAAAAGAAAGCCGACTGTCCAAAACATACAGTTTCAATCCTAACAAACACTAATTCCTCCCTCTGCTATAGCTGTTAGCCAGTAGTTTTGGGGTTATAAATTACAAGCCAAAGCGATGTGGTTTCCTCAAATTTAATCTAAAAAATAACTTGGGTTACCTCTTCTCCTTTGTTCCTCAAGCCGCCACGGCATTGGCTCTTGGACTCGGATCCAAGAGTTGACGTAGCTTGGCAGCCAAGTTCGACTTTTTCACGTACGTTTCACCATCTTTGTCTTCTTTCTTATTCATGGCAATCTCCTCTGCGTATCCTCGTTCAGAGTTTTTCAATCCCTCCTGTATTGCAAGAGACTTCACAAGCCATTACAAGAAAAATTGGGGCTGGGAGGGAAATGAAAGTGCAAGAAGGGTAAACGTCCGTACCACTAATGTAGCATTTTCTAGCGTTAGTTTCTTGGATTTTTCGGTTAGTTGAATTATTTCAGATCTAATTGTTGAATTCTCTGCAGTCAAGGATTCAACTTTACAAGCCAGCTCTTCTGCCTCGGCCTATAAAAGAATGGAGCGCGTTAGTTTTAGATCATTCCACTGTTATAGTTCATACTTCATATATGGCAAAGAGGCTCAATGAAAGCATTGCATGTTTTTAAGAACACAAGGAACAAGATATATTTCTTATACCTGCTTCCTCAACCTTGATCTTCTAGCTGATTCTCTATTAGACTGTTTCCTCCTCTCCCGTTTCAGCTCCCGTTCATTCTAGTTAAATTTCATTTAAATTAGATTCAGCTTAAGACCCGTCACCGAAAAGAAGAAAACACTAAAATGTGTATTTACTATCCATTATTAGCAAAAGCATTAGCTCATTTACGAAACAACAAAACAATTCGAATTATAGGAAAACTAGACAGCATAGCTTTGAAAGCAAGGATATAAAGAGCAGAGATACAGGAGGTCCATTCAGATGCATTACCTGCATCCAGACTTCAGATGGCATTACACCAGGTAAGCTCATAGGACTGGACTTAGCATTCATGGTGTGAGAGTTCCTAAGCTCCAAAGCTGTGGTCATGCCAGGAGAAAGTACAAGTCCAGCTGGTATAGGAGAAATGGTTGCAGTCACCTCCAGCATAGCAACTGGTTTAGACCTTGCTTCATCATTCCCTTCTCCACCTGCTAACACAGCGGCCATAATCAATATGCCTAGGCCTCCAGAAATGAAAGTGGGACCAAGTATGTCTCGAATTCAATAATGTAAATCTCATTCTTTTCATTTTTCTAACACAAGTTGTGCCTTCAGAAACCACAAAAAGAACTTATGCATATCGAGGTCATTACTCATGAGTCTATGTAAGCACATAAAAGTTCCCAGAAGTGAGCCTGCATATCTCTCATGGGATTTCCTATTGATATGTAAAAAATGATAGTGCTTCTAAATTTGGTGAAACGTTGTGCTTCAGGTAAAATATATTAGATATCAACAATAAATAGTGAAGAATGGGATCATACCAATGGTTTCTGTTCCCTCCCTGCTTCGTTTCCGTCTTGTTTGATCTGCCTGAGAGATGATATGCAGTGACAAAAATAAGATTTAACATTTGGACCCTTATAATTGTTTTACTGCATTATTTTTAAATAAAATAGCTTATGAGGAAACGAAAAAGTTGTTGGAAACAGGTTATACAGCTAGAAATGAGATCTCACCCCAGCCGTATTCCCATCGCTATCATCGGTGGAACCTTCAATCTTCAAACTGTCCACATGATCATAATTAATAAAAATTAGTAACTGTGGATCAACTGGGACAAGTTCAATTGGTCATGCAATCTCCTACAAATAAGTTGCTAACTCTACATGATACTAGTTTGTCCAGAAATGACTAACAGACCTCTGGGATGGTCGGGGTTCATCCCCGCCTTCAGCTTTCTCAGCAGAACTATTGCCTATCGACATTGCAAGGCCGTCAAATCCTTTCAGCTTCTTCATTAAACCTTTGTTTTTATTTCCTGAGGACTTTGTAGGTGTTTCCACAGGGGCCTGCATTACAATGCGATGGTTATATTCAACACCAAATTAAAGCTTAAAGCGAAGGCCGAAAACTTGCAAGCTAACTCGTTGAAGCAGAGAATATGCATGCGTATCGACAATAATTAAGGATAAAAATAGCAACAGTTTGAAAGGATTAATTCAACCAGAGCCTCCTTAGTCCTTACTGGAGGTGATGATGGAATACCAAGGCCGTGTGATCCCTGTATTTCAGGAGCAAATGGATAACAAATGCATTAGAGTATAACATGATACAACAGAAAATATAAATATGGCAAAGGGTGGAATGATGCTATTTTCTTTTTATTTAGCGCTGATTTGATATCCTGTGGAGGGGGTGGAATGGTGCAGTTTTCTTTTTCTTTTTAATTCAGTGTTTTTATTTATACTGGTAAGGTAAGGAACCCATGCGTATTGCTAGTATAACAAGAAAATATGCATATGGAAGTAAGAAAGATAGGAATTATAAAAAAGTATGTGCACTCTATATAGCCTAGAGCAATAATCTATGCATTCATATCTAAAATGCAAAACAAGATAAACTCCTATTTTTTTATAAAAAATAATAATAATCTAATTAATTGATACTAGCGAAGCAAACTTACCATAGCAATTGCAGGATGCACATAAACTTCCCCATGAGGGTAGATTGTCGCATAAGGTGGCATAATTGGCTGGAAGTGTCAAATTAGTATATTCACTAATTATTTATAGAGAAGTTCAACGTAAACTTGAATGAAGTTATTAAATGCACAGGAGCTACCGGCATTACCTGTGTTGGCCCTCACATATTGGGGGGAGGAGCATGACCAGATGCCACAGCTGAATTATAATATGGTGGCATGGCAACTCGAGGACCATAATAAGCCTAGATAATGTAGAAGAGAACCATAAAATCCCCATTAGAAATTCCTCAAAAACAGCATCAGCAATGGGGTAACAAGGTGCATGCATAAATAAGATAACCTGCATAGCTGCCCAACCGGGATAGACATGAATATTGCTCTGATCCTGTGAAGAGAAAAGGATTGACCAATACTCAGATATGAGCTTTAAAAATTAATTCCCACATTTAAACAACAAGCAAATTCTACTACGACTACCATCAAAATATTTCTAGCATAAAACGCTACAACTTTATCCAAGATTCAACATATAAACAGACATAACCTAGTAACTTACCGGTGGAGATGGTGAAGATGACTTGTCAGATTTAGATGACTTCCCTTCATCGCTGTTTCCCATGGTCAAGAACCGAAGCTGAAGCTTAGTTTCGAGAACTTGGTTTACCTATCTCTCTGCTGCAGTCAAAGAGAGAAACATGAAGTTGTGCTTGACTGCAAATTTCTTAATGACAATAGGAATGGTTGAGGAAAACATCATACAAGCAAATTGTCTCTGAATTGCAATTATATGTGAATCGTTTCGATTTAAAGCTAGAATTTCTATAAGATTTTATGATCACTCATTCTACTTCCGTATTATTTTTTACGGAAAACAGAGACAGATGCATTCTATGACCATCACCTTCCTCAATAAACAAACACGACTTTCAGATTACCAGAAAGCATACAAATGAAAATATGAGGTTACAACCGTCTTTCTAGTAGTCTATCACTCACACAGAGAACGAAGACAAATTACCGAAACCACGACACCGAGTTAATCTGTTAACTGAAGGACAAAAATACGCTTGAGTCCGCGGTTAAAGATTTCTGCATTTTTTCCCAACGAACTAGGCTTTTCGTAGATGAATCCAAAACAATTTTGAAAAGAATATCATATTCCGATAAGCGCTAATCCAATTTTCGTCCTCTAATGAAATCCGGAGCTAAAGCCTCTAATCAGAGCTTGCCACCAATTTACGAGATCTACGAACAGTTAAACGCTTAAAATGTCAAAAAAAATTAGAAAGGTACACGATTTCTGTATAAAAAGATCCTATCAAAATCAGTTATGATTTGAAAATGTTATGGACCTCGAAGGATTTACTTTCACAACAATAAAAATAATTGATTGTTATAGCTTCAAATGGAATTCATTACCTCACCAAATCAAAACATACAGAACTAAATTTAACTCTAATCCTGCACGTTCATTAGCCTTCTCAACAACCAAACAAAACCTTACGAATAATCCACTCACTCAACAATAACAGGGAAAAGGCCTTAAAACAAACAGCACCCGGAACTTCAATTTCAACGTACCTTAAAAATTATGAAAAATCCGAAATTCTTCCTTTCCTTAGCAGCGAAAGAATAATTCACACTCAACAGCATAAAGTAGTAAAAAAGACTGCATTTTCTTTACTAAAAAACCGAACAAAAGTAAATGAGTTTTTTTTTTTTCTTTTTAAAATTCACAGATTATTACAGAGGAAAAAGGATAGCCTTGGCGGGGTGAAGAAGAAAATGAAATGAAGTGCCATGGGAACAACCACGTCACCAAACACGTGTCGAAAAGCGGAGCCAAGTACGTAAGTACGCCGTAGATACGGGGGGACAAGGTTGGTTGTTGATTTGGCCCATCCTATATTCGCGATGGCCAATTTATAAAGAGAAAATAACTTCAGTGATTGAAAATGTTTTATAATATATGATTTTGATTAATTTTTTTTGATTTGTCAAAATGACCAACAAAATCGCAATGCGATCTCTAAATCGTGATCTCCAGTATCGCAAATCAGTTTCCAGATTCGCAACGCGATTTTGACTATCGCATTGCAATTTTCCAAATTCGCGTTGCGATTTTAAAAAATTGCAATGCGAATATGTAAATCGCAACGCGATTCTGACTATCGCAATACGATTTTCAAAGCGTCATTAGTATCGCAACGCGTATTTTATTTTTAAATTCCAAACACGAATATTAATATATCCCGTAATCGCAACTCATAACCTAAAATCCTAAATCACAACTCAGTCCCATCTCAATCTCTCACTCTCTACGGCGACATCCGTCCCCATCTCCGACGAAATCCGTCCCCATCTCCGGTGAAATCCGTCTATCTCCATCTCTCAGAGCCACCCTCACAATCATTCACGGTCATAAATAGAAAATCAACCAAATCAACCACCGAGAGTTAGTTTTTTTAATTATTTTTATTTTAAAATTTTTACATTATTATTAAGTTTTTCATATTAAAATTGATGATAAGTTTACTGGTAATTTCAATAATAGATTAACCATTTCACTTAGATTGCTTATTAAATGCATTCAATTGCTGCCAATACTGCTAAACTGTTTAGTCTTTAACCCTGTGAAGTTAGTATTTGTCTTTGTTTTATCTTTTGGTTGAAGTAATGCAATTCATTCAAGTTTCAATTTTAGACAATAACTATTTGAAACCGAGAATCGCAACGCGAAATGAAAATCGCAACGCGATTTTTAGTTTCGCGTTGCGATTATCTCGTTGTGATAGTCAAATTCGCGTTGCGATAGTCATTTTCGTGTTGTGATTTTAAGTTTCAGAAACTATTCTTCTTCTGCAAATTGAAACTTGAATGAATTACATTACTTCAACCAAAAAACAAAGACAAATACGAAATTCACAGTGTTGCAAATTTAAGTTTGAAGAATAAACTACTACTACTCTTTATGTTTATTATTATTTTTGGTATATCTTCACAGTGTAGTTTTTGGTATATCTAACTTGGTATGTTTATTGTTTTTGTAGAACTTTTTTTCGGCTCAATTGACCTTAAGGAATAAAATAAGCCTAGTCACTACAATTGCGTCGAAGCTTTCACCTGTACAAAGAAAATTGTTTGAGTATACTTGCTTCGGGTCATGGCTGAAAGCACAACATCCAGGTGGAGATGCTATGTTGACCCATTTGTGGCTTCAGACCATGACTAGCGATCTACCCGAGAGTATAAAACGTGGTAATTAAGAGATATGGTTTCATTTTCCACCGGCGTATACGTGTTTTGGGCGGGAGGAGTTTTGCTTAATCACTGGTCTACGCTTCGGACACGATGATGTAGGTCGATACACTAGTCATATTACCCGCCCATCATGGTTATCCCAGGTTTTTCCTGAGCTGTCAATGGAGAATACGAATTTACACGTCGACGACTTGACAAGATTATTTAATAAGAAAGATGGTTTTACTCGGATGGATGACGTCGATGTTGTCCGAATATGCCTTTTAGTACTTTTGCATGCCGGCTTTTTAGGCAGAGAGGCCAGACAACCTATTCCTAAAGACCTAATATTATTGGTAGAGGACCTAAATGCATGGAACCTGTTTCCGTGGGGTTCATATCTATGGAAAGCTACCTGGAATAAGTTGTCGTCTGCCTTTGATGACCGAAAAAGTTTGCGTGGCGATGGTTCCAAATACACTTTGTCAGGATTTATTTGGGCCTTTAAGGTGAGAATTTCTATATAATGTTTCCAAAATTATAATTAATTATTTAACAATTACTAATGTTTGTGTATTATATTATTTGTAGATTTGGATATTTGAGGCTTTTCCCGGCATACAGACATATGCATTAAAAACTTCAAATGATATTCCTAGGGCTATTTCTTGGAAGAGGAAACGACAGTTGTTGGATTGGGAAGAGTTACTATGGTAACGAAAATAAATGATGTAAGTTAACACAAATACTACCATATATAAACAAGTTATTACTAGTACACGTTTAACTTTGTTTGAGCTTTTATATTTTTAGGAGGCCAACACTCCATTACAGAGGCTGACACCCACGGAGGCTGAGCTTGCCATTGATTGGTGGCAAGCTAGTAAGCGTTTTTTTGATGGCACAGATGATGAGCAGCCTCCACTTCGAGAGCCATCACTTCACCCAGAGCCATCACCTGATCGACCACACTATACACCTCTACAACGAGAGCCATCACCTATTCCTTCACATCATCGAGCCTCTTCTCTACCATCACCTCATGATAGGCGACCGGCAAAGATGTCACGACATTTATCTCCATGTTCTCCACCTCCATGGGATGAGTTAGGGGAGTTACGTGATGAGGTCAATGCCTTGCGTGAGGAGGTCGGTACTTTACGCGATGACAATGGTGGATGGCGTGATGAGGTATCTACTTTACGTGGTGAGGTAGCCGCTCTACGTGAGATGGTAGCATCGTTACAGAATGAGGTTCATACTCTACGCAACGAGGTAAGTTTAAGATTTTTCATATTTAACTTGATTTACTCGTTTCACTTAGATTAATCATTTCACTTAGATTGCTTAGTAAATTCATTCGGTTGCTGCCAATACTGCTAAACAGTTCTAAAATAACCCTGTAAAGTTAGTATTTGTCTTTGTTTTGTCTTTTGGTTGAAGTAATACAATCCATTCAAGTTTCAATTTGCAGAAGAAGAATAATCGCAACACGAAACTTAAAATCGCAACGCGAAAATGACTATCGCAATGCAGAAATGACTATCGCAACGCGAATTTGACTATCGCAACGGGATAATCGCAATGCGAAATAAAAATCGCAACGCGAAATAAAAATCGCAACGTGAAAATCGCAATGCGAAAATGAAAATCGCAACGCGAATTTAGTTTCACGTTGCGATTTTTATTTCGCATTGCGATTATCTTGTTGCGATAGTCATTTCCACGTTGCGATTTTAAGTTTCGTGTTACGATTTTAAGTTTCAAAAACTATTCTTCTTCTGCAAATTGAAACTTGAATGGATTGCATTACTTCAACCAAAAGACAAAGACAAATACTAACTTCACATTATTGCAAATTTAAGT